TCGATCTCTGATTAGGTCATGTACACTTATTAAGCAGGAGTTCTTTGGAAGAAAAAAAAAGGAAAGAAAGAATAAGAATCTGTTTATTTCACCTTGGCTTTCAATTCTTTTCTAACTAAACTCAATTAATAATGTTAATATATCTTTAAATTTACATAATTTAAAGTGTCCTTAATGTTGTATATAATTGAAACTTATGGTAATGATAAGTTTCACATCTTAATTTAATTATTTTCATGATGAAGTTCATTTAACTATTCACCATTATTAGTATCATTATGCATAATGAATAGACACCTTTCGTTTTTTTACATAAGTTCATTTTTACACTTTCATCATGAATTGATTGATGTTAGACTACCATTGGAAACCGTGAATTACTGGATGATCATTTTGTCTCAGTATGGGACATCTTAGCAGTGCTCATCTACGATTGCGAACCAAAAACCTCGGTCTCGCACGCGAACGCCTAATCTCCAGACTATTGAGCCGTTATCCAACAATATTAATGTCTCACTCCAACTAATCCACAAAATCCCACGACCATCTTCCATTGTCTGAGATAGATACCTATCTCTATAGTTATAATTATGCATAATTACTTACTTTCATACTTACACTTGTTACCCCCAATGGAACATAGACCGCCAACCACCATTCTCCAACCTGCTTTGATCTGTGTCATCATTTCTGGTTCTATCCAATCGTTGTTCATTCTTCCCATGTCTGACTCCATTTCTCGACGTAATGTGTTCTTTGGTCTTCCTCTTCTCCTTTATTTAGCCTTGAGGATTCCTTGTGAGGACTTGTCTTGTGTCTCAGTTCGGTGCCTTCCTCAATATGTGTCCTATCCACTTCCAGCGCTTCTTCCTCATTTATTCCTCCGCTGGGATCTGATTTGTTCTCTCCCACAGTTGATTGTTACTCATAGTGTTTGGCCAACGGATCTGGAGTATTTTGTCTAGACAAGTGTTAATAAACACTTGTATCTTCTGGATGATGACTTTCGTAGATCTGCAAGTTTCCGCCACATACAGTAGAACTGTTTTGACGTTTGTATTGAAAATTCTGAATTTGGTTTTGTTTGACAGAGAGTTGTTTTGAGTCCCAGATATTCTTCAATTGTAAATATGTTGCTCCTGCTTTGCCAATGTGCGCCTTCACATCTGCATCAGATCCACCGTGTTCATCAATGATGCTGCCCAAATATATAAATGTTTTTACATCTTTCAAGCTTCTCCATCAAGTGTGATTCGATTGATACATAATAAATAGACATTATTACATAACTTCATTTTTACACTTTAATCAAACAATATTATAACAAAATGAGATTTTATTCTTTTTGATTAAGATCATGACCCTTATTGAAAACGTGGAACCACTAGATGACCATTTCGTCTCAGTATGAAAAACATTATCAGTGCTCATACATGATCCTGTTCATGAACACTTAAACTCTAGATCACTGAACCAGTATCCAATAATGTTAATATCAAACTTCAATCAATCCACAAAACGGCACGATTATTTTCTATGATCTGAGGTAGACACCTATCTTTATCGTTATAATTATGCATAATAAATAGACATTACTACATAACTTCATTTTCTACACTATAATCATACAACAATAAAATATAACAAAACTACATTTTATTCATTCTATATCTATAATTAAACTAAAACAAAATATCAGATGGGTTTTGCGGGTATTATAGTAATTTCAGTGGTTAAGATCATGAGTCATTTGAAGCTAGACCACTATGGAAAACCTGGAAGCACTGGACTAATATTTTGAATCTTGCAAGGGGCAAGCTAGTGGATGCACACCGGTAAAGAGTCCCACAATAGGACGAAACGGCCGTTCAATGTAGTAGACATAAAAAACGTAAATATATTTTTTTATTTTTATTTTTTTAAATTTTTTCTTTAAATTATACATCGTCACATTTTCAAAACAAGCAAAAATAATAAAAAAAAAAGAAATTAAAAAAAAAGAGTTTGAATTTTTGGCACGCACAATGGGAGGGGGGGTGGATGATTGTTTATTGGATGGATTATGTAGTTGAAATAAAAAAGAAAAAAAAACAGAGAAAAGCACATCATTTTTATGCAAATTTATTTTAAATAGAATAAATCATAAGTGTTAGTTTATTTGAAACAAAATTACGTATTCTGATTGAAATTAAATTGATAAATTTACATGAAAACAGAATTAACTTGATGAATGCTAAATAGGACGAAACGCATGTCCTGGATTCCACTGTTAGCCACTATCCATCTTTGCTTATAAAATAACTTCAGACTAGTTTAGATTAGGCATTATTGTCATCAGGAGAATTTACTTACTTACTTACTTACGCCTATCACCCCTCTTCGAGGAGCATAGGCCAGTCATTAACATTCTTCATCCCGAGTAATCCTTTAACAATTTTTTCCAATTGCTCATCCTTTTTTTCATGTTTGATTTTAATTCTTTCGTATTCTTTGGCCTCCCTATTTTTTGTTTTTTTTCTTTTAGGATACAATTTGGTGATTTTCGTAATGTGTGTCCTATTCACCTACTCCATAGTAACTTCCTTATCTGGAAGCAAGTTTATTATCTCACACAGTAGGGTGTTGTTGACTGGTAATAATATATAAATCAAACTATCTTCAAATGATCCTTTCATTATTATTCTTGTCATGAATTCAAAACGTTTTTCATGTAGTCAAAAGGGGTTTTGTGGAGATTTTAGAAATTTCAATAGTTGAAATCATGAATCAATTGGAGCTAGACCACCTTGGAGAATCTGGAATTACTGAACAACCGTTTCGTTATAGTATGGGACTCCTCAGCAATGTGAACCCACGACCCCGCCCTCGCGAGGTTTGAACTCAGGACCTGCCAGTCTTGTGGGCGAGAGCTTAACCATTAGACCACTGAGCCGGTCTACATTCAACGGTGTTGAGGTCTGACTTAAATCAATCCACGAAATTGCGCCACCGTACACCATTGTCTTCATATAGATTTCACTCCTTCCTACTACTAATAATAGTATTATTCACAATTATTCATCAACAGAAGAAATTCTCATTAGCATTTTAAATGAGAGAAAAATTATGTGTAAAGACACACATATACAGAAGAGATAGATTGTGGTTGGGATTGGAATCCCAACTGCCCGTTTATTTTTATTTTTGGGATTCATCGACTCAGAATGTCGATAGTAGGATCATTTAAACACTTATTAAAAATCACATTGGCAATGCAGAAACAAGTTAGTAGATATCTAGAATTCATAGGTAAATAAATAATGCGTTGCTTTCTGTCATGAAATGTAGGAGATTTGATTATTGGTGTGAGCATAAACAGTTGGATGCAAACACATGCAGTCGATGAGTCCTGAGAAGGACGAAACGCCAGTTCGCGAATCCTGTATTAGCCACAAACTATCTACTCCATTTAAATGATTTTGCGATTATACAACAAAATAGTCCAAATCGTAAGCCTTTTATCATATGCATAAATAGTGTCAACACAAAGTCACAAATCACCTAATTCAGATAAAGCAATGCTTAAAATATTTCTTATGACCCACAGATTTTCTTTACCATGCAGATAATTTCAATAAATGAGATCATGAGTGAATTGAAGCTAGACCACCATGGAAAACCCGGAAGCACTGAACGGCCTTTTCGTTTTATTGTGGGACTCCTCAGCAGTGCGCATCCACGATCCCACCTCGCGAGATTAGAAACCAGGACCTATTAGTCTCGTACACGAGCGCTTAACCACTTGACCACTGAGCCGGCACCCAACGGTGATTTCAACTATTAAAATTACTATAATATCCACAAAACCTCCTCTGATGTAGATAATTAATGAAAAAAAGTTGAAGAGACAGTCTCTCGAAGTTCTAAAAAATCGGGTTGATAATGCGATTTGAATAATTATAAAGGAACAAGTTTCTCACTATAAGATAATGGCTGATGTTTCCATACTCTCCCAGGTTAGAATATGTATTTCAACAGAGGATTCTAGTGGTACAAACAACACTCAAATGATCTCTCAATATTCATGAAATATAGTAAATACAGAGTGATTACACCATAAGATGTATCTTAAATTGTTCATCGACTTGTAGTACATTTTATATTTCATCGTCATATCCGTATTCATTTCAATGATTCATTAATGTCGCAGTAATACATTATGTATCGGAGTATGTAACGTAGATCCTGTTAACTCAACATAATCTAACAATAACTATCTGACTGAGATATATGATAACTTTGGATTATATATTATGTTGCCAACCATCTAACAACTAAGTCATTGTCAGATACTATTCAAGCATTAGATTCAATTCAATCCAATTGAATATGGAATATAGATTAATATATCCTTTGAATATGTCAATAATCATAGCTCTAGATCATCATAATAATAACAAATGGTTTGATCATCTAATGAGATTGAAGACTTTTGAGAGACGCTAAACTAACCTTGAGAGTGTCTACCTACTTACTAAGGCTAAATAAAGGTTATAAAGCAGTTTGAAGAATAAGGATTATAACTCACAATTGTTGGTTAAGATTAACAATTAGATTTAGTATTTTTATCACAAACTGATATCAGCTATCATATCAAAACTCTATTTATCCAAATGGATGAGTGAATTTCGCGTCAAACTCTAAGACCTGTTATCCTAAATCTGATTGATTCGTCCACCATAAATTATAGTCTCGTCGATCATCTAAACATCTACAATAGAATATACATAGTTCTTATTAATAAACACATTCACCCTCGAATATAAAGTACCACAACCTTATTATATAAAACAACAAGTTATGATGTAACTATAGAGATAGAACTAGTAAACATAGACATTTATATATATATTTTTTTCAATAATTTTTTTTTCATTTTCATTTCTTTCTTTCTTTCTTTTCTTTTCTTTTCTTTTCTTCAATGTATGTTACTTTGGTTCTTTCCTTTGATAATGACTTAATTAAAATAGTATTGAATCATCATTATCTAATGAATTTAATTGAGATTCTTTCCATAAATGATATTTTATTCCATAATGATTCTTTTCATAATTATTATTATCATCATTATTATTCATATCATGATTGATTTGTTTATCATTAATAGGATCATTATCATATTGATTATATAATTCTTTCCATATTGGTCGATCAATATATAGATTTGGATATTGATTAATCATATATAAAGGGATAATATTATTATCAAGTTGTAAATAATCATGATGATTATTATCATGAGAATGATCATAATGATGAAGATGATGTTGTTTATGCTCTTTTTTTTCTTTTTTTTGTTCTTTTTCTTTTGATTCTCTTTGTTGTTTTATTAATTGTCTTAAAATTAATAAACGTATCTTTTCTAAAGTTAATTGTTTTTGAATATTTTGTTCAGAATCATTTAGTATTATATTCTTGTTGTCGTCATCATCACCATCATTATCATCATTATCATCATCGATATATTCATGAAGAGGATAATCATATAAGTGTTGAACATGTAATTCATTATGTGGATTAGGTATAGGGAAAAGATTTCTCTTTTTCTTCATATTATCATAACGTTGATGCTGTTGCTGCTGCTGCTGGTGATGATGATGATGATGTCCACGATGGTCTTGGTTACGTTTTTCTCTATTATTATCATTATAATCAGTAATGATTTGATCGCCTACTTCTTCATCAAGTAAGTAGTCTTGATTTATTTTCGGCACTTCTATAAATGCTCGCTTCTCATGAATGTTATCATCATTTGAAAAATTATCAATGATATTATCCTTATTGTTATTATTATCAGTACTAGTAGTATTCCATGATTGTTTTAATGAGTTCAATATTTGTCCAACAAGTTGAGCACGATATTTAGCTTCATCAGATGCTTTATTTAATAAATCAGCTTGTTGAATTGATTCACTAGCAGCATTCTCTAAATGAATTGCTTTATTCACTTCTGAATCAATTTGTAAAGCTAATGCTAATTGTAAACGTAATAGTTCTTCTTCATTTGGTATTGATGAAATAGATGATGATACTGACCTTATTGTCGGCAATAATAACGATGATGACGACGAGGACGACGACGGTTCAACTGATGTTGGAATATAAGGTAATACATCATGTATTAATAAATCTTCATTATTTATATTGTCAAATTTAGAATGATCAATAGAATTCACATAATCTCTTGAATGTAACGGTGAATTAGATGTATGTTTTATACTACTGAATAAAGTAATTACTAAGGTATAAGTAGCGTATAAATTCCAGAACATATATTATGCAATATGAAATATATATGAATATTCTTGTCTTTATAAAGGATATAGTAATGAAGCATGTAAAATTTACAATTATACTATGTTTACTATAGTTTTAACAGTAGACTACTGTTGGTCTCCTTTCTATACTCATACTTTTGGTATTATCAACTTAACGACAAAGTTTAATATAAGTACACGAGTATTTTTTTTAGCCATAGATACTAAACTTGATAACAAACAATAATATGATTGGTTATTAACATTGGGATAATCATTCCTATACTCAATATGCCCTATTCATTTAGATAGGCAGACATAATCTTAGAAATTGTATAGAAAATATAACACTGTTTGTATGTAAGTAAACTTAGAGTAGGTCGATACTACTGTTTACAAAATGATAAATGAAATATTTATGAAGAAGTTGATCGATACATTAGATAGATACATAAGGAGTGTTAAATAACCAATTAAAAGTGTTAGACCTACCTTTCTGATCCAGGGTAAAGAAAAGTATTAAAATGTAGGAGAATGTGAGCAATAGTGGAAAGAGAAAAAAATAAAACAAAATATAAATGCTTCATTTTGAAGCAAAAAGAACAAGTATGTCTGAGAGTGATTGTGGTTTAAGGATGCTTGTATGTGAATTGAGTCAATAGTACAATTATAATTTTATACAAGACAGATTTTGTTGGATTCACTATTGGTACTGAATAGCTCCAATTTAAAAAAAAAACAACAGTTTTTTTTGTCACCAAATGGGTTACTGATAAAGTATGAACTTAATATACTACTCATTACATAAAGTTTGAATAATCAATTGGTCTTCGATTGTATCCTAAATTGTGAACATTATCTCTTAACTCATGTTTAGATTATAAGCAAAGATGGATTGTGGCTAGTAGTGGAATTCAGAATGCGCGTTTCGTCCTATTCGGGACTCATCAACTGGATGTACCGGCATCTCAGAGTTGATATTCAATCCAGGACTACGAATCCAGTAACGTTTGCTTTAAATGCTATCCCGTTATCCACTTAACTATTGAGTCCTGTTAGCCACCTGTTTGTGAAATGGGGTGAATGTACATTAAACTGACGAATCCCAAATATGACGAAACCTCACATCCTGAATCCTACTGCTAACCACTATCCATCCTTACATATAAAGTTTATGACTTAAGGCAATATCTAAGCAATCCTCATATGATGTACATATGCCAATAAGAGATTGATCAATTTCAGTCTTAAACAACAATGGAAAGATACAAGAAAATAATACCAAGTGAGAAGTTTTATTTCTTAGTTATTTTATGTTTTGATAAGGTATTAAATATTGATTGTTTAGAAAAGATGTTGTTTGTTCGTTAAAAAGTTGAACTAATGAACTCTAAATTGAAAGAAAAACAATCTAACAATTTAGAAATGACTGCGAATGTAGAAACAAACGAACAAAATTTGCCATTTAAAAAATCAATAGACGTTATGAAACTCTGGTTATGACCTTTACCAGTAAGGGAATTTGTGGAGATTTTAAAAATTTCAATACTTGAAATCATGAGTCGATTGAAGCTAGACCACCAGTTGTCTAATGGTTAAGCGCTCGCACGCGAGACTGATAGATTCTGGGTTCGAATCTCGCGGGGGGCGGGATCGTGTATGCGCATTGCTGAGGAGTCTCATACTAGGACGAAACAGTCGTCTAGTGCTTTCAGGTTCTCCATGGTTGTCTAGCTTCAATCGACTCATGATTTCAACTATGAAGTTTACTCATGTTTTGAATCATTTATCAATTATAACCCTCGTGTGATATTTCTTTCATAAGAAATAGGTGATTTAGATATGATATATATGATATCGATGTATAGAAGTACTTTTATGGATTTGATCATTTTGTATACGAATATACGAGCGAATATAATCAACACCAACTGTTTGTAATCAATAACCTACCAAGCTGAAAGATGCCGTTACATTTGTATAACAAAAGTGAAAAGTAAATAAAAATTATAGTCATGATAGAACATGAAATCAGAATGGAGATTTGTGAAGAATATAGTCATTTTAACAGTTGGATTCCTGAGTCAGTCTAAGATAGATCACCATAGAAAGCCTGAAAGCACTGAGCGGTCATATCGTCCTCTTATGTGACTCCTTAACAGTGCCCTGGTCTAGAAGTTAAGCATTTGCGCGCGAGAACGAAGGTCCTAGGATCCTACAACATCATGGATGTGCAATGATGAGAAGTTTTGTATTAGGACGAAACGGTCGTTTAATGCTCTCAGGTTTTCAGTGGTGGTCTAACTTAGATCGATTCGTGAACTCAACTGTTAAAAGATCTTGGAACGTTGCTATACTAAAAGTGGAAATTTTAAAATTGGTTTCTCAAGTCTCTACATTTCAATATAAAGAATTTATGTTGATTATGGATGAATGAATGCATATGGTTTTGGGCTTATCACTGTGTATAGTTTTCTTTAAGATAATATAACTGAGAAATCAACCACAGGTTCCCATACGTAACTTTATACCCAAAGACTAACTTAAAGATTATTCATACAAGCTGAGCGACCAAAAAATTGTAATATAACGGCTGTAAATCTAGTAATTTAACCTATAAGTAACCCCATCATATTTCAATTAAGAAGTTCAACTATGGTGATGTGTATTTTGTTTTCTCTTCAAAAAGTAAATATAATTTGTTGAAAAATACAAAAACTTCTTAAGCAAAGATGGATAGCAGTGGAATTCAGGATGCGCGTTTCGTCCTATTTGGGAATCGTCAACTGGATGTACCAGCATCTCACAGTTGATATTCGCTCCGAGACTACGAACCCAGTACCATTCGCTCCAAAAGCCGCCGCTTTATCCACTTAGCTACTGAGTCCTCTTAGTCACCTGTTTGTGCAATAAGGTGAAGTTTAAATTCACTTGGTGTTGTTTTACTTGTATCTTCCCATAATTTAGGACTGCAATTGATCAGTCTCTTATTAGCATACATGCATCCTGTGCTTATTGCCTCGCTATTGCCTTTTGAATTTCATTAGTATTTTTTAACTATCTACTTAAAAAGTTAGATAACGGTATCGTAGAGTATGAAGATCCATACCACCACCATGCTTAATGTAACCAATGTGAAGACTACTAAACTGCTTTGTCCTCGACTAACAATCCTTTCATGGCATAACAATTAGCTCTGTTACAACACGTTATAGGGAAAAAAAGTTAATGAAGTGGTATTTTGTGAAGTATAGATAGCTTTGATTAACGTTATGCGCATGTGTGGTGTGTGCTAATGATAGTCGACAGATATAAGTAGTAAATATCATCAATCGAATGTGAAATGCCTAATGGCAGAAGGTTAAAAAGATCGAAGAAAAGAAAACCAGAACAAAGAATGATTGGTGTGGAAACGAAAGAACACTGAAGTCTGAAACGATTGATTGACATTTTCCAATTGAAGTAATCACTGAATGGTTCTCAGATTTTACTAAATGATTCTGTAATTTTGTATTGAAATACATTCGATTCTCACCACTTGTGAACAATATTAGAAGTATCACGATGATTCGTTAATTTTCCTCTACCTTTGTTGTCTGGAGTAATACAAGGCGATTTCAGCTAAATTTATACATCAAATATATCAGAAAATGTAAAGAGATTTGATAGAAGCAAGATGGATGGTAAACATTTTAGGGATGAATAAGAGTGGCAGATAATCATTGTTTATAAACTTCCGTACACATTTTTTTTCTGAATGTTCACATGTCAACTACTTTAAAAAAAACAGGAATTTCGTTACAACACTGTGTGTTTGTGTTGAGAATTGTTCGCTAATGCCAAACACTTCGTATCGAACAAAGAGACCATTATTATTAACCAATACAGTTCAAAATGAATGTTAGACTTTATTTTTATTTATTTGTACACATCAATATTGGTATGAAGGGGGACCAAATACATATTCACCACATAAGTCACTTGATTTGTGAGTGGACTGCGAGACTGCCCGGGTGCCCAAACTGAAGCAAATGGTATTCTTAGGGGGACCACACCTGGACCCGTCGACCTAAAGGGCTGATCCGTAAGACAGTGGAGCAACGTGAGGAGATACATTGCTAGTGGTAGTCGCTGACCAATAATTGGTTATTACACAATTTGTTTACTCAGGATCCTTGAGCTCATGTACACTATTGGTTCGGAATCACTGCTTTCCATCTCCCCTAGGTGGATCCGCGATATCCATCAACCCGGATAAAGCGCCGGACACTTGCTATTCGTCATCACAATTTTGTAAACAACACCCCTGCTGAGATAAGGCAGTGAATAGGACTTCACTGGCCGTGGCTGTATACGCGTGACCATGTGAGATAATTTAGACAGTGATAACTGACTCTCCCTTACCCTAGGCATTATCAAGGCATTTGGATTCCAAAAACATTTTGAACTTGGACATCAATCTTTCTAGAACTATGAAAGAATGTTCAGAGATTTGTTTGTAACATGTAGTTTAAGGTCAGACCTTGAAACATACTTTTACATTAATATCGATTACGTGGAATTTTACTAATACCTAAAATAGAACTTATCAAATATCCAGTTGGTGTAAATCCTAAACGTTTGAACTCTTAACCAGTCGACAGAAATATTTTTAACTGTTTTTAATGTCATAAGATACCGATGAATTTCACTTGATCCATAAGTAATATCTTTTATCTGTTCTGAAAATTTCATAATTATGAAAGGTTATTACGGTTCCTTTGTAGGTTAAAAAATAAATCAAGGTTACTATTATATCCTGGTGAAGAATCAATTACGGGTAACTTCTGAGAACTATTAATGAATTAATATTATATACATATATATTCTCATTAATCTTGAAGGGAAAAGGAAAAGAGGAAGACCGAAGAACACATTACGCCGAGAAATGGAAATAGACATGAGAAAAATGAACAAGAATTGGATGGAATTCGAAAAGAAGGCCCAGGACACAGTGGGTTGGAGAATGCTGGTTG